TGGGCTCTGCTCCCCAGTAACCAGCGATAGGACGAGAGGCAATGGCTTCAAGTTGCGTCAGGGGAGGTTCAGATTGGATATTGGGAAAAATTTCTTTCCTGCAAGAGTGGCCAGGCGTTGGACCAGGCTGCCCAGGGCAGTGGGGGGGTCCCCCTCCCTCGAGGGGTTCAAAAAACGTGTAGATGTGGCACTTCAGGACGTGGTTTAGCAGGCATGGTGGGGTTGGGGTGACAGTTGGACTTGATGATCTTAGAGGTCTTTCCAACCATAACGATTCTGTGATTCTATGGAAGAGTCAGAACAGCAGAAACCAAACCCAAACTACTTATGGGACACAGCTAGCTGTGTCCTGCTCCCCGTCATGCCTGCAGAAGATGTCTGTGGTTCCTCAAACCGGTTCACACCCTCTATAGGTCCTTTTAAGCCAAGAAAAAGGGCAAGGCAGTGGAATGGGACACAATGGGCTCCAACCCTAACAACAGCTCCTGTGTACTCCCCACAGAGATTATCCTTTTCCTTTGCAGAAAGGCCCTCGGGATTTCTCACCACTCAATCCTACCTTCTTAAGCGCAATGTGAGAATACCAAAACCTGTGATGTTTCTTCCAGAGGTTGCCCCTAGAGACCCTACGGCTCTTCAGATTTGCCAGCATGACTTTACCCACCAAGCATGCACACAAAAACGCACCATTTCAAGAGACAGGCCTCTGACAAAAGCCAACAACGAGCTATAAACCAAACCAGTAAAAATGTCCATCAACAGGCAGATCCCAAAAGGTGCCTCTCAGAAGCTCTGCTGGTTTTAGGACTTCTAAAATGGTAGGATATGCTTGGAGCCTTGCAGATTTTTCCAAGGTTTGTAAGTCAGCAAGGAAAAGTGTTTTGCAATGTGTCCTGAGCTTTGGGAGCTCGGGCGTATCTGTCACAGGGAGACAGAGACGAGACGAACACCCTGGTCTAAGGAGGCCAAAGTCAATGGGCGATCGCAAGTGCTCCTGGGACCCACCACTCCCAAGAGAACACAACTGTTAGGCACCACAGAAACATGCCTTGAGTACAGGCAAAATCCAGTAAAATGGGAACTGAGCACCCTCCAACCTCACAAGCTCAGTCTTTTGCACGTCATTGGAAGTGGACTGAGAACTGGTTGAATGGCAGAGCTCAGAGGGTTGCCATCAGCGGCGCTGAGTCTAGTCGGAGGCCGGTAATTAGTGGTGTCCCCCAGGGCTCAGCCCTCGGCCCAGTCTTGCCCAACTTCTTCATCAATGATCTGGACAAAGAGTTCAGAGTGTACCTTCAGCAACTTTGCTGATGACACAAAACTGGGAGGAGTGGTGGATACACCAGCAGGCTGTGCTGCCATTCAAAGAGACCTGGACAGGCTGGAGAGTTGGGTGCAGAGGAACCTCATGAAGTTCAACAAGGGCAAGTGCAGGGTCCTGCACCTGGGGAAGAACAACCCCAGGCACCAGTACAGGCTGGGGCTGAGCTGCTGGAGAGCAGCTCTGTGGAGAGGGACTGGGAGTGCTGGGGGATGACA